TTCAGTAAACACGATAAATAATAAAACAACACCAATTCAACTATTAATTACAACAACCCAAATGTCATCAACAAAAAAGCTGCAATAAGCAACCAAAGCTAGAGATAGCACCCTGAATTACACCAGCCATAAACCACATCACACATACATTGCTTCATAAAACAAAGTCCCACTGCCAACAACCTGAACATTACAGAATAACATTTACCTGCATACGTAGGAACAAACGAACAACAATGCCAACATAAGCAAATCGTCTATATGAAGAACAGAGAGGGGCAGGGCATTATAACCAGACACAAAAACCACTATTTGCATTTTCCATTGCAAGCAACTTCATAAAAGCAAGATAAAATACAACCAAAATGGAAAACTACCCACGTTGATTTGGCAAAAAAATCATATCAAATCAACATTGTTCCAGAGTTCAAGCTATAAAAAGGAAAACAAACCTTCAAGATCAATAAATAAAATATTTAAAAAGGAAAAATCATCCATTATCTTGCTATGTCCAAGTTTCAGTGTGTGAAATCATGTTAACAAATTATCATGACACCTGTGATAAATGACCAATTAGGCTAACACCAACAAGAAAGTTAAAGATGAATGAAGTAGAGGAAATCTCAAAGCTGTGAATGGTGAAGAAAATATGGGGCCTATGATGCTGGTGGAATGATTTTACTATACAAAATGCACAGTTGAAACTAAATGGAGTTAAGGATCAAAGACTTCCATAAATGATCCCTTGAGATGTGTAGGAGAATAAAGCAAAATTAGTTAAGGCTCTAATCTGAGTTATTTGTTCTCCAGCTTTCAACTACATATGGAATTAAAATCTGATATAGATTATGAAATTGTCATTGGAGAAGAGACAAAACAATAAATACCACCATTTTCAGCAGTCTTAACCTGTGTCAATGAACTCCAATTTCCTCCTCCCATAAAAAGATGCAGCCCGGCAAGACTTTGATAGCAAAATTCCAAAAAAATCAATGATGAGTGAAGACAACATATACGAATAAGATGCAAAATCGGGAGTGGCAAGGAATTAAGTCTGCTACTCCATTGCTGGTATAGTGAGTAGATTTTGTCACCCAAGTCTACCCACAGCTTCCTAAAAAGGCAATAAATAACGTCATCTGCAGAGATAACAAAATAAATCCCACAGAAACTTAGCAAAAAGCAGAGTAAACTCACACACGCTAAAACTGGAGGGACCACTGCTTTTAGGACTTCTGGTTCCTTTGCTATTTGATTGAGTTTGGTTCATCATCTCCACCATGAGCTATCAACGGTAATCTGGATAGTTTGAAACTCGAATCACCCATCGTCGACCACACTGATGTGGGAAAAAAGAAGAAGACAATGATATAGTCTCTAGAAAGCAAAAAGAAAAAGAAAGAGAATCAAGCGGGCATATTTAGGGATTCTTCTTGCCTGATTCGGATGCACAACTTCAGATTCTCTACTCCGTTGAGAGATCCAACTTTTCATCCACGATCAGCAAGCCTCACACCCACAGATAGAGAGAGAGATCCATGTTACTCCAGGAAAATACCTGGTATGCATCGTCGTCGATGCCGTAAGATCCCATCGAATCTCATCAATCAGAAGGAAAGCTAAAATCAGATCCAAAGGAAACAGAGAGATAAATATGATGAGGTTCTGAAGTTTCAAACCTTTCTCACCATCGGAGAGAGGAACCTGGCGATCCGCTGACGGTCGACCGCTGCCGTTAGATCCGTCGAATCTCAACTATCAGAAGGAAAGCTAAGATCAGAACCAAAGGAAACAGAGAGATAAATAACATTAGTTTCTGAAGTTCCCAACCTTTCTCACCGTGTGAAGCAGTCACAAACAGAGAGTGACTTCTCTGTTTCCTCCTTTGAGATTACACAACAAAGTAGCATCCATTACCAAGACTGAGAGATGAAGAACCGACGAACAACAGAGCAAATAAACCCAGCTTGAGAAACCAGGACCAGAGAGGAAAAGAGAATAGAGAGAGTGTAGAATAAAGAGAAAGAAAGTCTTGCTCCAAGGCCACAGTTTCGAGAATTGGAAGATAAACAAATCATACGACTAAATGGGGCAAAACTGAACAGAACAGAAATCTCACATCATACACAGCCCTACCCTGCAATGATTTGAAAGACAATCGAGAACCATGCCAGCAAGCCAAATCGACAGCTTCAAATCTGTGGGCAAATGAAATAAAAAACAAAGGCAAATATGTCACCTCCGATCGGCAGAACCACCAAGTGGGGAAACCACTATCAAGTCTCAACAAATCACCCTGGCTTTTTCAAGAACCCCACCTCTCAACTCACCCATGGGAAACCCCAACACACACACCCCTTCTATGGAACACCGAAGCAACTGGCAACACCTCGTTTCACGCAACTGCATAATCTCCGGATACAGCGAGATCTTGTGCGACCAACGCGTGCAAGGCCAAAAACAAAGAAATATCAGTAAAACTAACGGAAAGTGGCGATCTACCTTGAGACAGAGAGATAAAAGCAAGTTGAGAGATGAATCGATGCGGATCAAAAATGGAGAGTTGGAGAGTGAAAAGATAAATAAAATGGGAGCAGACCTTTTTATGTCGTTCCTCACCTCCTACCAAGCGGAACTCTTCTCCCAAACGCGAAAGGCATCGCTGATATTTTTTCTGGATAAGAGAAAAAACACTGTCAAACAGAGGAAGAGAGAATGATCCATCCACAAACAGAGAGATTAACCGTCAAAAATTCAAACGGGGCCTACGAATCAGTATGCTCCGACTAGAGAATCGGCACCGCACCATCTTCGGATCTTCGCTTCATCAGAGAGGGATCCTCACAACCGGCGGGTGATCGACGATTCCCTGTCCGCTGAGAACCACCTCTCCCACCGCAACCGACAGGTCTTCCTCCTCACGTGTGCACCAATCAAGTCCGCTACTCAACCCAGTAGCCTCTGGTCATCGTTGAAGATGGTACAACCAAAAGCATATCTGAAAAAAACACCCCCAACCAATTAAAAAGAGACACAGATAGACTGAGAGAGAGGAAAGAAACCAAGTAAATCGAATCTCAACATGAATCGAGCGAAACCCCATGAATCAGTGCGGGGGGCAGTGAGTAGCAGACGAATTGCAAGGTCTATGGACGAACCAAGGAAGGAAGAATGAACACGGCGGCCGATTGCGAGGAGGAAGTGGGGGTTTCTTCTCCCAACAGCACCGTTTCGAGACGGAGAGAGAGGAAAAACCATCAAAATCAAAACTCACCATGAATCAAGCTGGTCCCTAGAAATTGTTGTGGCGGAAGTGAGACGGAGAGAAAATGATGGCCCCAGGCGGGTTCTTTGGCAGCTCCTCACACCCGAAATGTTCAGAGAAAGTAGAGAGGAGAAAGAGAAAAAGAGAGATAGTCGGAGATGAATCGCTGAGAGAAGAGAAGGAGAAGATGGTGAGAAGAGGTCAGAGAAGGAGAAGATTTGGGAAAGATGGCTGTTTGCAGGGAAATAGGTTAGAGAAGGTCAGAGAAAACAGAGTGAGCAAGAGAGAGAAGGTGAAAAGGAAGAGTGGTTTCAGATCTCTCATCTCAACTAATTGATCGGGAAAAGGCCACCTCTTGCTTCTTGACATCTCGAGACCCCCACCCTCTTTTTTACCAACAGGGTCAATTCACCATCATCAGTCTCTCTCCGCTTCATTGGACACCGTGCCTGTAACGTCCTTGCGAAGGATACACTCCCCCCAAACAGTAACCTTCTCTCCTCACAATGGTGGTGAAGTTCCCAAAAATTCTCGGGCAGAGGGAATCACATGCCATTTGAAGGTGGGAAGGATCAAGAGAGAAAAAAAAATGAATATGAAGGGGGATTTGAGGGCAACGCGGCACTCAAAGAAACAACGGGGACAAAACCGCAAGGGCCAGAGAGAGGCGCGCAGCCAATAAAAAAAGGCAGGCGGGGCCAGTTGCAGAGCATGGACCAATCAGGGGAGGGTGAACAGTAATTTTGAGTCTAAATGAATAGTAAATTGTGTCTAGATGAACAGTAACGTGTCTTTGCAAATAACTTGTTCTAATGTTTATTTTTAGGAGGTAGGTAATTTTACGAAAGTAATTTGTTGCCATTAAGAACAATTAGGGCTCTGAATCATGGTAGGCTACAACAAAATTGAGAGGTGACAAATATGAGAAAGATCATATATCGCCACAAACCCTGAAAGATTTGTAAAATTGAAAGAAGAAAAAGAAGATATTAGTGCTCGAACTCTTGACCATGTCGATCATGAGTGTTGCTGGCACAACACTGTTTAGCGCATTGCTAATAAGATAACCATTGTGTGATAGAAACCTAATTTCCGAGTTATTCCATAATTATCACTGTTACTATAATTAGGATATTATTAGATATGGTTAGTAGTTATTGAGTTATATTAGGATAGTCTATTAGGTTTTTCCAGTCTTTCGTTATAAATATGTACTTTGCGTTTATTCAGAATCAATCAAGAAAGTATTAAGAAAACACTCTCCCAAAACCCTATTCTCCTAATCCTCTCAATCTCAATCCTCTAAAGGCTTCGGCCAATTCTCTTGTTCTTCCTCAAATCCCTAATTCTTCCCCAATTCTCCATAAATCCCCAATTTCCCAACTTAACCGATAGAACCCTAGAAATAGGTTTCTATCATCTGGTATCAGAGCCATGGCGAAGATCGGAGTTCGTCACAACTCTCAACCGGGGACGAACGGGTATATGAAGACATCCAACTCAAGATCACGCGGTTGGATCTGCGCTATCGTGTTGTCATATACTTCACCTTGCCTGGATTTGAAGACCAGCACGTGGAAGTGCAGAGGATTGGATCCGATGTATTAGCAATAACGGGACAACGCTCATTGGATGATGGACACAGATGGATCCGATTCGAGAATCTTATTCGGTTCAGAGCTATATGCAACCTTGCCGATTATCGCGCTGACTTCGGAAAATTCAATTTCATCATTCAAATTCCTAAATTAATTCCACCAGTCACCGTCACAGAAGAATATCTGAACGCTGAGGACCACTCCTTCAAGGCGACTGCTTCTGACTCCGGAGAAGAAACTTCGGTCGTTGCTGCTGCCACCGTGGCGTCACCACCTGCAGAAGCCACGACGAGGGTGCCATCACCACCAACCGCCATCGTCGCTCCAGTGACACCCACAGCTATGGCCGCCAGGGAAATTATCTCGAAGCCAATCCCGCCTTCAACAGTTGTTGCAGACAAATCCAGCAAAGGGACTGGCTTTAGACCGACCCCAACTCCACGGAGACCCTCCATCGACGGTTGGAAGTTCAAGAGAAAGAGACCCAGGTCGAGGAAAGCCTCGAGGAATCCGATGCCAAGTGAAAGCTTGGTCACCGCAAAGGGCGATGAGGAAAGAAAGTCACCGGGGCCGGGATGCGGAGAGACACGTAGCCGCCGGGTGGCCTGCTTGTCGTCGGAGAAAAAAAGGCGACGAACAGCAGGGAGATCTTCCCGACATTGCATGTCGCGCAAGCCGTGCCAGAGCCGTCGAAAGCTCCGTCTGCGGCGATGACGGCTGAGGAAGAGAACCAGAAGCCGAGGGCGGAGGTGGGTTGGCCTTCCGATCGCCTGATGAGCAGCCTGCCGCCGACGAATTGGAAACCGGAGAAGAAGACGACTCGGGGGCCAAGTGGGGCGACTCTCCCATCGGCTGCCAAACTCCTGGTGTCTCGCTCGTGTGCGGAGAATGAGTCGATGAGGCCACTGCCAGAGCTGAGAAGGGTGGCAAAGGCTAGACTCTTGGCGAAGGAGAAGTTGAAGTCAACGGTGGAAATCGAGCTGTCCCCACGATCTGCTCCCTTCGTGGCGTCGAGGATGAGGTCGGGAGTAGACTGGCAGCCTTGTCGTCGGATGGATTCTTTGCCACCGGAGAAAGAAGAAGCGAGGGGTCAGGAGATACCGGCATGTTCGTTGAGGAGGAAGGCGCCGCAAAAGCAATCGGCGCCGGAGGAGGAGGAGACGGAGAAGGAACCGCCAATGAGGGCCGCGTCGGAGGACGTGATGGAGACGGGGGTCGAGCTCGGGGAAACGGAGCCGAGGTCGATGGTGGACGGGTTGAGTTTGCCCTTCCCTCAACCGAGGAGACAATCGTTGCCGGTGAAGGAACACGCGACGATGGGAGAGGGCGGCGGGGATGTCTCTGTTGCTGCTTACCCTAGGTCGCACTTCCTAGAGGCCGCAATCAATGGGCCGAGCTACGGATCGGGTCGTCGGAACTATTGGACCGATAAGTTTGGGAGGAGCTATGTGGATCAAACTATTGGGACAGAGTTGGGAAAGATGGGCCGCAGTTGTGAACTAGCAAGGAAGGCGATTGCTGAGTTTGCTCAGTCAGAGCGGACCGAGGAAAAAGTAGCTTACGGGCTGCAGCACATAAGAGATTGGGCTGACGCCGAAGCAGATCTCCGACCTAATAATAGAGCAAAGTGGTTTAATGACAGAATAGATTCTGGGCCGAACATAGTATGGGCCCGCGAGTTTCAAGAAATAAGTGAGCCAAGTTTTCAAGGAGGATTTGAGCTTCACATTGGCTGTTTGGTTCACATTGGCTTCACAGTGGATGAGGAAGCCACTAAGCAATGTGATGGGCTAGCTCCAAGGAAGGTAAATTCGAGTCCAGAGTTTCGAACTCATAACAGGCATGGATCGACAAGAGACGATAGCTTGGATTTCAAGATTCTTGATCGAGTCATACCAATGGGAGATAAGCTATTGAGATTTGAATTTGTCAAGGAAGCAAGTAGTGGGCCCATAGAAGTGAAATTCGAAGAGTTGGACTGGCAAAACAGATTAATACAAGAAGCCCAAGTCTAGTTGGAGCATGATTGGAAGAAAAGGAAATGCGAGACGTGGAAGAATCAAGGCGCAAGGGCACAGACAACGTGGGAAAGTGGGTCGAGTCTTTCAACCTTGAAGGCAAGGTTGGTCTCAAGGGGGGGGGGGGTGGGATGATAGAAACCTAATTTCCGTGTTATTCCATAATTATCATCGTTACTATAATTAGGATATTATTAGATATGGTTAGTAGTTATTGAGTTATATTAGGATAGTCTATTAGGTTTTTCCAGTCTTTCGTTATAAATATGTACTTTGCGTTTATTCAGAATCAATCATGAAAGTATTAAGAAATCACTCTCCCAAAACCCTATTCTCCCAATCCTCTCAATTCTCAATCTCAATCCTCTAAAGGCTTCGGCCGATTCTATTGTTCTTCCTCAAATCCCTAATTCTTCCCCAATTCTCCGTAAATCCCCAATTTCCCAACTTAACCGATAGAACCCTAGAAATGGATTTCTATCATCGTGATGCCCATGGCCCCTACCATATTTATATGTTTGTAATTTGTTTACATTGAGCTTTGTAATCACATTATCAACAATAATAAGTACCATTTTCGCAATTAATCCCCTGTTGATGAACAGATCAAAGAAACAAACAGGGAAAATTAAGATGATAATTACACGAGGAGGGGAGTTGGGATGGCAGAGGAAGCGGTATGGGAGTAATGATCCAGCAGCTGGGAAAGGAAAATGAAACAAGAGACGAAGAAACATATGAATATCCCCACCGCCCGACACAACCTCGGTCCCATCATGCACATCAACACGAACAATATCTTGGTCGACATCACCAGAAACATGGACATGAAACTTATGTAGAACACCATGCTGATCCCCAGTATTGCGATTATCATCCTTGATTACCTCTCTCTAATTACAATCCTAACAATTTACTTGATCCCTTGAAGATACACACGCTTGCTCTCTGTCTTAGAATGCAGGGGAACATGCGACCAAACACCAAGGAGCTTGCCCTCGATCGCCTATGATTCAGAATGCAGAGGCATGAGAATTGAGGAGAAGAAAGACCCACGTTATCGCATCACACAAACTGAAGACAGCCATTATCATCATTTATTGATGGACTTAACAATGGGGGGCAGGGCGAGAACGAGAGAGCGCTGTGATTTGTGATGTGATGCCTCCACCTATATACCCTTCTCCATCCTCTCATTTGTTTCCCGCTATAGGCTGCTATAAGGTATACTGTTTTCGGTACAAAGTACGGCCGGCATCAGTTGAGCGGTCGATTGGATGCAATCTTATTTACTTTCGTGTCTGTATCTGTAATTGTTGGTTTGTAAAATTCCCTCTTCTGGCCGTCGTCCTCCAGTTCGACCATACCCAAGTGACAGTTGTGTGTTTGCTTAGCAGGTTCTCTCCTAAGTTTTAACGTTGCTATCCTTGTCTCTCTGGTACTGTTTCGTCTACCCAACTTTGTTATGTCAGTTCCAAACATGTCCAACTAACGGCAGGATCTGGTAAAACTATGTAGTTACTTGGTTTCTACCGATGTAAAGTTTCAGTTGTCCATCCTATTCTCTGTGCATTTAACTGCAACTGAGTTGCCAAATTAGGTAAAAAAAGAAACAGAGTTGCTAGGTCAATTAAACCTGAAAAGTAGAAATCGTACGTGAACCATTATAATATAACGCCTATTATCATATACTCAATTATCATTAGCTCAGACTCTAAGGATTAACGAAACCATCTAAGTTGCCTTGTATCTTCAAATGAATATAATGGAGAGCCATTTTAGGAAATCGGGATGATCTACAAACGAGCAGATATAATCAATAATACTCCAATATATATGTCACCCAGTTAATACCTCCACAACTCTCTAACTACCCAAAAAATTATCACTTGTGTTCTATTCTATTCAATACGACAATCCCACCGAAAGCTAGTTTTTTGTTAGTAATTAATAGAGAATCTAATCAACGTTGAGGTGGCATTTGACATGGGTATTTTAAATATCAATTTTCATATATATATATGATGGCGTCTTCGGTGCACTCACTTTTTTTGGTGCTTTCAATGCACTCGCTTCATAACCGTAATTTTAAACATGCGATTTATGTCAAAAGGATGTCAATCATCACTTATGATGTGATGAACAATAATGCAAATGAATTGCACAAAAACCATTAAAGATTTACTTTAATTTGATTTGAAGGATTTAGAGCTTAAAGATCTAGGGTTAGAGTTAGGGTTTACAATTTGGGGTTTAGGGATCTAGGGTTGGGGTCTAGGGTTAGGGTAATCAGCTAATTAGTTGTTACCATATGTTATATCATCATATTACACTAATTCTACAAATTAAAATTCAAAATCCGACTCCTTAAGACTAGTTTTTGAGTTGGATGCATTGAACGCACTCATTTTTGTGAGTGCGCCGAAGTTTGCAGATTATTTGGCGGAGCATGTGGGATTTATTATTCGACTGTAGAGATCCAGAGAGACCTAAAGACGATATGAAAATATGTAAACTTTCATCGACGAGGGATCGAAGAAACTAAACGTGAGTTTTCAAAATGAGACAAACTCGGAGCATGAAAAAGTAGGTGAAAATCATACCAGAGCCTCATCACCCGCAGAATCGAGAAAAACTAACATCTTTTAGGGATGACAGAGGATTGGGGATTTGGATAATTTAAGGGAATTAATGCATGACGAAAATTATCACAGAGGCGATGGTGTATGGGAACTGAAGGAATGGCTCATGTTAAGTTTTAATTATTTATAATATCGAGTGTTGATGACTAACTAATAAACTTAGGACAAATATACCTAAAGTTGGTGAAGTAGTAAAGTGGTGACCTTCAAGGTCGTATTCCACGGATCATTGTATCTATTTCTATTATCAGGCTTAATTACTATATAACCTAAGATTTTTTTGGAGATATTCCTAACCTACTAAAACCACCAAGTTACACTAGACTTGTTCTTGAGAGGTACTTGAGGCTAGTTCCCCCTAACTCTAAGATTAGGTTAGGTATAGTTATAAACGAAACACTCTCTTCCTTCATGATGCCAGAATTCTCTATTATCGCATCAAGGGCAATGGTCATGTCTCTTAGAGCACTCCTAGTGGACTTCTCGGCTCATTGGTCTTGCAACTGACAAATTGATAGGGCTGTAAGGTTGGATTCCTACTAGGGTAAACCAAGGAAAAATGGCTTCAAGCCAAAGTGTCACATGATTAAAATCATGTCTTACGTTATGTGGATTCTAGGCTTAACCTAGGGGGATGATGGCCATAACCTAAGTTAAGAACATGCGCTAGTTAGCTCTACTGAAGCAAGATAATGACATCATAAATCATCAAGTAATCATAAACAGGAAAGAGAAATCATTCCATCAATACAAAACCTAGCCATTCGTCTAAGAGTTAGAGGTTCTTACTCCAACTTAAAAAAAGATTACCGCATGAAATATGTGGAGAAAACAATAGAAAGGGTGAAAAGAACCATTAGCTTAATGATTTCCTGTTGGAGACTAGTCTTCAATCTTCTAGGATGATTCCCTTCTTCTTCCTTCCTTATTCCTCCCTCAAGTGAACCATAGGTTCCCTTTAGCTCATTTCTCTCTTATCAAGTTTATCAACCACCCAGCCACTAGCTCTTTACCCCATGAAATCAGGTCAGACACCTTTTATTTATAGGCAGCTAGAAATCCGGACAAGTTCGCGTCCAACAAATAATAGTTCGCGGCCGCGAAGTTTGGCTCCATGCTGTGATCTTCAAATGATGATGTTTTGGGCTGAACTGGAAGTGAGTTCACGGGCAAAGGAACATGGCCGCAAATTGAAATTCATGTCCATGATCTTTGTTCGGGCTCATAGGGGTGGGAAACCGGTTCAGTAAACTCGAATCAAACCGAAACCGAATTAAACCGAACCAAAACCGAATTAATGTTATTCGGTTTGGAATTCGGAAGGAAAATATGGATAGTTTGGAAACGAGGGTCCTTTCAACCGAATCGGATTTCCGATCGAAAAACCGAAATACTATAATTGCAAGCTCCAAATGGTGGATTTTTATGTTTGTATTTGTTTTTAGACTTAAATATTTGAAATGTTTTATGACTTATGTGTTGAAAAGTTTGATTTTATCATTGATGATGCATATAATTGTGTATTTATTGTTTATATTAGGGCTAAAAAATAATTTAAAAGTGAGAAGATACAAGTAGCTTAACAAATTCGGTATTGTGTGAAAAACCGAACCGAACCGAATTATAATTCGGTTTGAATTTGGTTTGAGGTTTAGAAGAATTTGGCGACCCGGTATTCATAATTTTGGTTCGTTCAAAACCGAACCGACCGAATGCCCACTCTTACGGGCTCAGATATAAACGCCCCCCGAAACAGACCTCGAGACCTTCTAATAACACTGAATTTGCACATGTTTTTACCCCTAATTTTTTTTTGGTTTAGCTTGTTTTTAATCATAATTTGGTCTATTTTATGATAGGTTGTGTTCCTTTGTCACATTTCAGGTCCTAGCACGTAAAATGAAGCATAGGCGTAGGTTTCAAGTCAATTGGAGATCAATTAGCGACTCGGGGGAAGAAACTCGAGCCTGACCAAGGAATAATGGATTTCTACCTCATTTTGTGGACAAATAATTATGTAATCTTGTCATGAAAAGAAAGAGTATGAGACCACGAGCGTCTACGATCAAATGGTGACTGATTCGGAGTTCGGATGAGGGAGAAATGACCGAAAGACAACAGCCTCTCCAGAGTTACAGGTTGGCATTCAAAGTTATGGTTCAAACCGTAACTTTGCCATTTTGATCATAACTCAGGGCCACAGGAGGAAAAATACATTCCAGAAGTTACGACTGCAACTTGGATTTTGTGAGCTGTATAAATGCGTTTTTGCGGATTTTGAAGGTGGAGAGCTGGGTTTTGGATCCCAAACACCCAAGGGACGAACCCTAGAGAGAGAGAGAGCATCTTGGGATA